GTCATCTACTCAACTTCCTCTTTGCAGCCACCCCAGTCCACCTCCCACTTTGCCTCTCAGCTGCCCTATGCTGCCTTCCTTGTTTGGCTTGGATCACCTACATGACAACTGCTTTAGTCTCATCTGACCTCAGAAATTGTTGTGTACATCAAGAGTTGGAATTTCCCTTGAGTACCAGCCTCAGACCCCGCAGCTGTCAGGACTGGTTCCTTGTGTCCTGCCCAATACACACTTTGTCACATTTATTTTGTCTATCAAAGTCTTGTTTGTCCTGAAGATCCAGTGCCCATGACACCGATGGCCTGGATTGTTAGGATGAAATGTAGGTCCTCCAGTGTGGCAAAACATGGCTCTAACTAGCTTTGACATCCCTGGTGTCATCGTAATTCAGAACTTGTCCCCATGACTGCCCCTCAATGCTAATAACGCTCTGTAGCTTTCTAGTCTACCTGCTGAATTTCCTCCCTCCAAGTGCTCTGACTTGCTTCTCCCATAGGCCTTGCCTGACTGCTGCAAACATGTCATAAATCTCCCATGCAAACCCCTGCTCTCATATTATCCCTGTGTGCTGGCCGTAAAGTACAGCGTGACCTCTCCAGGGTGGCTCCAAGTGTTTGTGACACAGCCTTCAATAGAGGCGATGTCAAGAGAAAGCCCTGCTCAGCACCTGTTAGCTGGCTGAGGCCCGGGACCTTCTAGTAAACCCTTGATTCTACAGGTGAACATGGCAGACCACAGAAGACAGTCCACTGACTTTCCATGGTCACATGACAGCCAGAACTGTCCTAGCAACACCGGAGCCAAAATTCAGATTTTTCTGTTTTTCACTCTTTTCAACTCACCAAATGCTAATTGGTGTAAATACACGTAACAAAAGTTTACCAGCTCTGTCACTTTTTCTTTTGTGTGTGCATGTGTGGCAGGAAGGGAACGTGTATGTTTTCATATAGGTGTATGCACACACATGTATGCAGGTAGACATGGAGCCCAGAGACTGCTGTCAAGAATCTCTGAGCTAGTCTTTATTGTTAGCTTTTCAGACTATCTGGAGAGCATCACTTCCACTAAGCTGGCCAATCAAAGAGCTTCTGGGATTTTCCTGTCGCAGCTTCCCACCCCACCCCACCCCAATTCTGGCATTACAGGCACATGCCAAATACCCAGCTTTTTATCTGGTTCCTGGGGCTAGAACCCAGGTCCACATGCTTGTGTGGCTACTAACCACCCCACCCTCACCCCAACTCCAACTCCTTCTGCTTTTGTATTCTCACCACTTCAAATTCTTAAGAATTTGACTTCTAGGGGACCTTGCACGGTGGAATCTTTAAGTCCTTGCGTTTTTGTGTTTGGCTTGTTTCTCCGTACAGAGTGCTAAAGGTTTTGGCTTTGTTATCATTCCCTTCCATTTTAAGGCTAATAATATCCCTCTTAAGTAATGTTGGAAAGCCAGGCTTTCTCAGATGCCTTTCCAGAAGACCACTAGGGGGTGGTAAAGATGCAGAAAATTTTCTATAAGCTTCCTGAGTGCCAGGCTAGCCAGCCGGCATCCTCTATGTATCTCTTTCAGCCATTCAAGTATACAGTTACAAGATAATGGATTCCACATCCGACAGCAGAGTTGGATAAACCAGAGATAGCATCAGCTGTAGTTTAAGAGCCGTCTTCCTCACATTCCGGCCAACACTAAGGCACAGAACTTCATTTCAGACAGTGGCTTCAGATGCTATTTTGGCTTAATTAATTCGCTTTAGTACGGTGGCTCTCAGTGCACACAACAGAATCACATATTCAGGCTTCAGCCAAAATCAAGTCAGAATTTCGGTGGGAGGTGGGGGTGAGGTTGGGCTCAGAGATAGATACTATATTTAACATCAGTCATTGAACAGAAAGGTGTCTATTAAGCAAAACCAGAAAGGTTCAGAGGATATGAATTCTGATTTTTTTTCCTGAAGAAGTGGCTGAGGGGACTGAAAATATAGGAACCTCATTTCCTAGACCTAGCACTTGTGTGTGCATGTGTGTGGAGGCCAGAGGTCAGAGGTCAGAGGTCAAAGCCAGCTGTTCTTCTCAATTGCTCTTTACTCTTTTTGTTTTTGTGTCTTTTTTTTTTTTCAGAGCTGAGGACTGAACCCAGGGCCTTGCACTTGCTAGGAAAGCATTCTACCACTGAGCTAAATCCCCAACCCCACCCTTTTTGTTTTTAAGAGAAGGTCTTTCATTGTGTCTGGAGCTCAACGGGCAGCCAGCCTCTTGTCTCTTCTCCCTAGTTATGGAATCACAAGGTTACACCACCACAGCTAGCTTTGTTGTGTGGGTGCTAGGGATCAAACTCAGGTCCTGCTTGCACGGCAGCTACTGAGTGAGGCTGTGGCACTTCTGAACACACCAGGAACCCAGACAGAAGATTTGAAGCTGAAGTATCCCAGACAGCTCAGGATTCAAAGATGCAGTTCCAAGACAACCATGTTCAGGGTAAGGTCAGAGCCCAGATATCAGTAATGGCTGAGATATTAAGAGAGTCTTTGCTATAGGAATCAGTAAAACAGGTCTTTGATTTTATCTTATCAAAAGTAAAAATGGCACATCGAACCTGAGGTGGGACCAGAGACCTGGGTTCTCACTCTAACTGCCTCACTAGCCAGTTACAGGACCCTGGGCAGGCCCCGCCCCTTCCCTCAGCCTCAGCCTCCCCTCTGCTCTGTGAGCAGATGGGATGATGCTGGTCTCCAAGGATCTTTTTGGTTCAGAAAATTCAAGGATTCTATTAGAATTAATAATCTTGATTTGTAATGATGACTCTGGCACATAGAGGACGAACTATTTAACAGTCTAATGAATGACAGAGACTATTGACCATGTAGTTTAATTTATTTAAGGCACATACCCTGAATTCAAAGGAGAAAATATCACTCCTGATAATATATTGAACTGTTAGTATCATCGGCCTAGCAAAAGCTTTCTGGAGGGAAAAATTGCCCATCAGTGCAAACTTGACATTTTTCACTTGCTGATCCATGGCTGTCATTCGTCCATAGCAGTCATGTTTGCTGTAAAGGCCATGCGTGTGGATGCCTCGGGTGAATATTAAATAACGACATAGCATCAAGGTCACTGTTTCAGGAAAGGCTCTGCAGAGGGAGGGCCCGGGAGGGAGCCCGCATTGATCTCTTGTGAAGTTCCGTTCTGGAATCCTGCTGACATCGAGGAAACAATTGATGGGAGTCATTATCAAGGCTGTAAGTGTCCCTCCATTGTTAAGGATCTTTTACAAGACCAAGGAATCGGCAAAAGCTTCAGCTAGAAATATAGGCCAGTCAAAGAGATAAGTACGTTCTAGGGTACAGACAGCCTGGGTCAGGCTTACACAGCAAGGGCAAAGGCTGGCGAGAGGCCGGCACCGGACCATCACTGTGCCTGCGTGTCGGGCACTGCTCTCAGCGATGGCTCAGAACAGAGCTTCCATGCCAGGAGCTACAGAGAGCAAGGTGTTTGTCTTCATGTGTCCCCACTGAAAACCTCTTCTCTGAACATTTTAGTCTGTCTTCTTCCATAGCTTCCCAAAGCACCCCAACAAAGATGTCTGCATGGTTCAGGCCTTCTGAATTTGTAAAGAATAGAAATGTATGTCTTTCAGTTCCAGAAGCTAAGAAGTCCAATGTCAAGATGCTGGTAGCTGATGAGGGGCCTTCTTACTACATCACAAGATGGCAGAGAGCACCATAGAACAAGAAACATCCAATGTGCTAGCCAGCACTTAGGAGGGCTGGTCTCTTCCTTTCTTGTGAAGCCGCCAGTGCTGTCATGGGGGGCTCTACCTTTACGACTTCTCCAACTTACCTGCCAAGTTTCTACCTTAAGATACCATCAATATATGCACATAGAGGTTAAGTTTCCAACATGTGAGCTTCAGGGGGAACACCTTGAAGCCATAGCCTGGACGAATCAGGTACCCATAAATTATACACAACCACAGGTCCAGATCTGGGCTGGCCAAGTGCCTAGATGGTCTTGGGCATGTCCTGCTGACCCAGATCTGGGAGGAGGGCAGCTGCTGTAGCTGATAGAACCTAGTTCCTGAAAGGTCCAGACAGATTGAGGGGAGGAATTGGCCAAGTCTGTGAGATATACATAATAAAGCCAATCCCCTGTTTGTCATGTGCTAGCTCAGGGTTACTGTGCCTGGTCCTTTGTACATCTCAGTTGGTCACATCTTTATATTGTCCCATTGAGGGTTGAAAATAATATGGAGGAGGGCACAGGGCTCCAGGGTCATCAATCCAGTATTCAGTCCCACCTCTACTGCCTCCCCCAGCTAAACCTGCAAGTTTATTTTCTCGTTGAATCCTTATCCTGCTCAGGTGTTTGGATGTTTGCCTAGCATGCACAGAGCTCAGCACAACATAAGCCACGTGTGATACTTGCTTGTCTGTAACCCCAGCACTTGGAAGGTGAAGATGGTTGGGTAAGGAGTCCAAGGTCATCCTTAGCTATAGAGCAAGTTCAAGGCTGGACAAAATGCCCTGTCTCAAAACAAACAAGACCCAGAAAGGGAAAAAAATCTTAATTCTATTTGACAGATACTGAAGGTAGAGAGAAATAATTTGATCTGTAAACGATACCACCAGAGCTTGAACCCAGGCAGGCTGACTCTTCTCGTATGTAACAATGGGTGTATCCCTTCATAACTATGTTTTCTGGGATAGTTTGAAGAGGTAACTAGTGTAAAGCACCCAGTACAATACCTGTCACATCACAGGTATTCACAAATTGTATTAAGCTGCTGTCATTGTTATTGTTACATGATTTGTTAAGAATACAATCAAGAACTGGTGAAGTGACTTGAACTCAGGTCTTGTGACTATCTTTCTAATCCACATTCTACCTCACTCTTGAGTACAAGACTGAGGACAAGTCTCATGTTACTGTATCCCCAAGCAGTGTCATCTCTGTGGAAGGGGGATCTCTGACATAGCCCTAATGGTCTTTTCCCTCCCTTCCAGGTCCAAACTGTGAAAGATGGTGATCCCTCCTGGAGGCCCACTTTTATTGTGAAACCGGATAGTGGTTGTCAGGGTGATGGAATCTACCTCATTAAGGATCCTTGTGATGGCCGCCTGACTGGGACCCTCCATAACAGGCCGGCAGTGGTCCAGGAGTACATCCGCAAGCCTCTCCTTATCGACAAACTCAAGTTCGATATCCGTCTGTATGTCTTGCTGAAGTCCTTGGACCCCTTAGAGATTTATATAGCCAAAGATGGACTCTCTAGGTTTTGTACAGAGCCATATCAAGAACCCAACCCTCAGAATCTGCACCATGTCTTTATGCACTTGACCAACTACTCCCTGAACATTCACAGTGGCAAGTTCGTCCACTCAGACAGCGCCAGCACAGGCAGCAAGAGGACTTTCTCTAGCATTCTTTGTAGACTGTCTTCCAAAGGTGTGGACATCAAGAAGGTCTGGTCTGATATCATCTCCTTAGTTATTAAGACTGTCATCGCCCTGACCCCAGAGCTCAAAGTTTTCTACCAGTCAGACATCCCAACAGGGAGGCCGGGGCCCACCTGCTTCCAGGTAACCATGCCAGCCACCACCCTGAGTTTTAGCCTTGACTGGGCTGAGGAAAAGCTCCTCGGCAATGGGATGAAGGATGGGTAGGATTGCATTGTCAGAGGTGGAGATACACAGGTGGTGGCCACTCTGGGCTTTTGCATTAAACCCCCAGCCCAACTTTCAACTTTCTGTTTCCTAGGTGACTTGGGACAGGCTACTATTCTTCATTTAACTATAAATCTGTAAGATTCTTGTGAGAGCACATATGTCATGCATACATTCTTCATTCATTGAACAGTTGCTACTGCCTACTTAGGAGGGGGTCAGGCATTATTATAGAATCCTGCCACCCAATGCCAAGAATCCATAGTGGGAGAAAGCCATTAACATTAAGAAGCCATTGACACAGAGAGTTACATGTAGTAAAGTCAAGTAGGAAATGGACCAGGTACTATGGGGCTGTGGACCCATCCACCATTCCTGACTCAGTCCAGGAAGTCTTCACGAAAGACATGGCAGTCCCACTGAAAGCTGAGGTGAGAGATGGAGCAGGAAAGGATGACTCGGGATCACCACTGAATGTTCTAGGTTGAAGACATACTGCTTTGGAGGTAAGAGGGAAGCCTGGTGTGTTTGAGACACCCAAAGAAGTTCAGTGTAGTTGGGGATGCGTTTTGAGTCCCAGAGGAGGAATATAAGAAAAGATGAGGTGGGGGTGAGCAGGTTAAGCCCAAGTTGTGGAGAGTCTCAGGGGCAGTGGCGACATCACCAGAGGATTATAAAGGGACAGATCATACTCAAAAGTACACAGTTCCATGATCAGTGAGTTATGTATTGAGCCAAGGCTGGCTGCAAGGAGATTGCTAATATATGTTTTTGTACAAGCAAGAGCAGATGCTGGCTCGGAATAGGAAGGTCTTGATGGACACGAAGAGAGAAGGTAGTGCTGAGTCCCATCTAAGGATGGTGGATGGCTGGACTCGGTGACTGCTGGGTCTGGGGAAAGAGAAGAGATGATAGCTGAGAGGAGAGGAATTCCTGGGATGGAGACACATGTCCTGGGCTCTTGGAAAGATGGATAGAGGCTACTTGTAGAGGATCAGATCGGGCTATCAGGGAAGGGCCAGGATCTGGAGGCAATGCCTGCATGGCAGTCAAAAGGAGAGGTTAGTATACAAGTTGATATTTGGGTTGGCATTTGGGAAAGACAAGAGTGGGTTGGAGAAAGGGCTGGGAACTCATCCATTGCAGTGACTGAAGGGATGTGGCAGTATGGAGAAGAAACCCGTTGACAGCCCCCACTTAACAGAAAGATGGGAAGAGGCAGGGAACCAACAAAGAAGACTGAGAAGATTGGTCAAGGGGGAATGTGATGAATGCCAAGGAAAAGATGCTCAGAAAATACTTGGGCATGGACCTGTAGCTTCCTTCAAACATTGCCAGGATGCCAGGCGCGACCGTTCCTGGAACTGTCCATTATGTTCACTGACACTTGTCCTGGATACTCTAGCAAAAATTGTCTTGGGCAGCCAGCCAGTTTGTGAGAGGGAAGGAAATGAGTATGGTGTTAAACATCTTTTAAAACATAGCTCTCAGGGGTGAGACAGGGGCATGGAGCCCAGGCACTTACTGAGCATACCCTTCCTGTCACCAGCTCTGTCAGCCCAGGCAAGAGAAAAGAAGATGAACCTCTGGGATTCTCTCTCCCCAATCTTTGATATTATTGCATAGCAGGATGGGGGTGGGATGGAGGGGGTGGTGTGTGTGTGTGTGTGTGTGTGTGTGTGTGTGTGTATGTGATGTGTAAGAAATAAAACAACACAACACAGAACATATTTGTAATGATCACACCTGACCCACTCCACACCTGCCCAGCTCCAGTGTGTGTTCTTCCCTATCCTGTTCCCCAGCCCGTCCTCTATATAACCACTATTCTGAATGTTATGTTGACCATTTCCTTGATTTTTCACAACTACACGTGGTCATGCATGTATGTCCCCTGAGACAGGACACTGCCTTATCTGACTCGCTTCCAAGCTTCATAACAGCCCCAGTGTGAATCCCACCTCCTGAAGCATCTGCTTCTTCACAGACAATGGCTCAAAGGTCTGTCCCATTGCTGGGGCTGGTGGCTTTGCTTCCACTGGGGCACACTACATAAGTACGCAGTTTATCACTTTTTCTGTCAAGGAAGATCTGGGTGTTTCCTGGCTGAGCTGGAAGGGAAGTAAGGGTAGTAAGGGATGAGAGTGAAGAGAGGGATCAGAGCACTGTCTCCCACAGATGAATACCTACTGACCAGTCCACAAGCGCACTGGCTTTAGTTCCAAATCCAGAGACTCGGGACTAGGCCGCCATCAGGTGAAAGCCCCTGGATGGAGATCAAGACAATGGGAAAAATAGTAATTGTCCTGTAGAGTCCCATCCATGGTCCTGTGCCACCCTCTGAGCCTTCAGTTCTTAAGCGGGTGTGTGCAATAGCTATGAGGAGATGTTTAGAAAGGTCTGCCGAGGAAGACTTCAAGGTAGTGCCAGAACAAAGAAGTCCTGACCCAGGCCACCACAAAGTGAGGACAGAGGAGACACTTGTGATGTGATCGCACCCTGGGTTCATCCCTGAGGACAAGTGTGGTCATGCCTGTTTGGCAGTGACAGCTATTCTAGGAGCATCACATGGGGCCAGGCAAGCATGGCCAGACCACAGAGGCCCAGCAAGGAGGACTGGGGTGGTCATTATGTGCCTGTCCTGCAGTAGACAGGCAACAACAGCCATCAGGGTTGGGGCAGGGCCAACTGTAGGGGACTGAAGGTCCAGATTAGGAGCCACTGCTTTGGTCAGGGTCACATCTAGCAGATGGGCCCAGAGCCTCATGAACATTTGCCACTGCTTGACCACACACACTAAATGCTTCCAGGTTGAGGAGACAGGCTGGGAATGAAGCTGTTTCTGGCTTGGTGAGTACTGGAATCTTTCTCACTACCCAGGGCCTCTTAGGTTCCCCCTGCACACTCACACCTGTGTGTGTGCGCTGGGAAGTGATGTACATGAAGAAGCTTTAAGAAGGTGTCAGGTGGTATCTGCTTAGCATTTGTTGTTCTGAGTGTCTCAGACACACGGTGAGAGAGACGATTTGGTACCCTACTTACAGCCACGCCCACTCCTGCTTGCTCCGTCTGAATCTCCTTTCAGGATGCTGTTAGCTGAGCTCTAGACACTTGGGCAGACCTTGCACAGGTTTCCATGGTATGGTTCTGATGTCCATTTGCCATGTGACCTGTCCTAAGTCACTTAACTCTTCAGAAGCTCAGTCTCCTCCCCTGCCTCACAGGGTCGGCGTCCAACTCTCAAGAGACAAGAATTCCGTAAGAAACACTTTGCAAATCGTTGAGATTCTGCACAAATGCAGAAGTTATTTCTTTGCTGGGTAGGTCTTTCTTACTTGTAGCAAGGCCTGACCAGATGGCAGCATTACAGAACATAGCCCCCCTAGCCAACCAAATTACACTCATCTGGGGCATGTGACTGTGACCCTGTTCCAGCCATGACCACAGTAATGACTTGGAAAACATGGTGGCCAAGCAACAGCTGGCACGGCTCTGTTGTGGTCAGATTTCCTGTAATCTTCTGCTGAGGAACACAGCTGCCCTGTCATTCCAGCCTCTCCCTTGTCATTGCCCAGGCAGCCCCAGCCACAGAGCCTCACATCTGCTGTCTTGAGGACAGCAGTGTGACCCTGGTTTAAATATCAAGGTCAGCCTGGGTGTAGACGATCATGTGGCAGAAACACACACAGAGGGAACATACTCTGTGGCTTGGACTGTATATTTTTCTTGTTCCCCATGTCTAATTCTGTTCTCAGCCATGACCCTCCTGTTGGATGTCTAGAGATATAGCTTTCCTGAGGCCTAGCATAATCCTCCTCTTCCTCTATCCTCTGCCCTCTTTCTTACCCCAAATCCCAGACAGAAGGCAGAAGCTGAGAATCAGTGCATGTGTAGCGGGAGTGTCAAAGGCTGGGGTTTCCTTCTCAGATGGACGGGTTTGAGCTTCTCCAAACTCCTGCTTACAGCAACTGTAGCTGGTGAGCTCCATAAGTCAGCCTTTCCTAGTCTGGATTTCCGTAGCTACAAGTAGCGAGCTTGTTTGTAGCCACATCCCGGAGTTGTTGCATGCTCCAGTAAGAGGGAGCTATGTGGACGAGTCCCCAATACACAGCAGTCACTTAATAAGTGTGAGGATGGGTGTTTATTACTATGACAACAGTTCTCACACCTACCCATGAGAAAGGACCTTGAAGTTAAGGTAAATCAGTAACTATTCTCATTTTGATGTTAACTAGGACATTGGTGATACAAGTTTGGAAACCAAGCCCTCAGCCTGGCATTTGTCACACCCCAACCGGGCTCCCTAGCTCCCCTGTGCCTCAACCTTGGTTCTCCCACACCAGATCTGCTTCCTCTCCCTAGGTCGTCACCAGTGCTTCCCTGGTCAGGCCGTTGGTTTTCCTCTGTCTCTGCCAGGCTGATCTGCTTGTTCCTATTCACCTGTTTCAAGTATTCAGTACTTTCCCGAGTACAGCTCAAGACCTTCTTTCTCTGAAAGCCTTCCTTGGCCACTCTGACAGCTACGTTATTCTCTTCCTTTGCAATCTAGCACATTCCCTGGGTACCCACTGAGATGAAGCCTGAGATAGGTGTGGGGCATGTGGCTAAGAAAAGGCGAAGCCAGGGCCTCTAGGGAGTGCTCCATTTAGTGTGAAAGACTCACAGAGATAATTTCTGCTCCTTATACATCATGATTCCAAGGGCTCACACAAGATGAGGAGGGAAAGTTAACTGACCGACCAAAGGCTCCTGGAGGAGGGGATGCCCAAGTGAGTTCAAGGCTCGAAGAAGAGGGTCTTCCCAACAGACACTGAGGGTCCCACATTCTGTTTCCCTGCTACTTTACTGGTTGCTCTTCCCTGGCCTCTTCCTCTGGACCTGTCATTATTGGAGATATATTGGAGATCCCTGGAGAT